GTTCAGAGGGACAAAGCGTTCTGGAGAGGATGGTGGTGATGGCTGCACAGCCATGTGAGTGTACGTAAGGCCACGCGCGGCACACTGTAACTGGTGTGAGCAAAAAGGGGCTGCGTGAAAACCTGACACGCACAGGGCACAGCGCCAATCATGGCCTCGGCCTGTGGCTTCCTCAGCAGGAATTAATCTGCCTCCTCGGAGCCCTGCCCAGCGTTCTTCCGCGTCTGGGATAACCTAACTTTGAAATGTCAGAGTCGTTTCCTTTTCCGACCCCTCCAAGGCACAGCCCGGGCACCAGAGCCCTCCAGCCCTCAGAGCACTTCACTGCCATCTCTCGCCCACATACCGCCTCTGTGTGCCATAAACACTGACTACCACTCCTCCTGTGCCCACTCATCACTACCACTTCTCCTGTGCCCACTCATCACTACCACTCCTCCTGTGCCCACTCATCACTACCACTCCTCCTGTGCCCACTCATCACTACCACTCCTCCTGTGCCCACTCATCACTACCACTCCTCCTGTGCCCACCGGGTAAAAGAAGCATGTGTCTGATGTGCAGTCTATCCAGTCCTAGAGATTTCCCCATGCTGCCTTTTCCCGCCTCCACACTGAGGGCGGCCATGCACCTTCCTGCGTGTTCTCCTTTGATTCCGGATGCACAACAGGGACTGCAAAGTGGGCGCTCCCAGGAGCATTTTCCCAATCCCTTGAGACCTTGCTTCTGGGCACGTCCTCAAAATGTGGCTCCACTAGCCGTGACCGGTTTCGCTCGGTGGATGGAGCGTCGGCCTGCAGACTGAAGGGTCCCAGGTTTGATCCTGGTCAAGAGCATGTACCTTGGTTTCAGGCACATCCCCAGTTGGGGGGTGCAGGAGGCAGCTGATTGATGTTTCTCTCTCATTGATGTTTCTGACTCTCTGCCCCTCTCCCTTCCTCTCTGTAAGAAATCAATAAAATATTTTTTTTAAATGTGGCTCAAATAAACACATACACCTTTTCTTTGCTGACCCTCGTTACATTGGTTACGTTTTGTCATGCACAGTTTACAATGCCAAATAAATAAACTAGCTGCGTATGTAAGCTTCTGCCCAACAAAGCCCCTCCTTTTCCATCTCTCTGGGAGCCAGCGGGCCATTGGCCACCTGGCAGTTCCCTCGCTGGCAAGGCAGCACGCCTGGTGTCTGTTCCCACCCATTTTTCCAACATCTCTTTAGAGAAAGGACTAAAAAATCAGGAGTCCACTAATACGCATTCTGGGTTCTAGTAGAGACCATGGTAGTAGCGTCACGCTTTCTAGAATTTGGGGCGGTTTGTGTTCTAACCCTCTGGAGTGTGGAGCAAACGTGTCCCACAGTTCACTAAGGGCTCTGGCGTGTCTCATCCTGCCCCCCCGTGTGCTGCCTGAGGAGCCCTCAGGACCCAGGCACTGTCGGAAAGACCAGAGGGGTTGAGCATTGTCCCGTGCACCGAAGTGATGCCAGTTCGGTTCCGGGTCACGGCACATACCCAGGTTGTGGGTTTAATCCCCAGTCAGGGAGCGTTTAGAAGGTCCTCCCTTCCTCCAGTTGATGGACAGACGTAAACCCCGCCTGCAGCCAGACATTCCTGAGCACTGAACCACCAATCAGCACCTGCCCAATACCCTAGGCCCCCATTCCTAAATCCCTAGGTCCCCAATCATAGGCCTTACATGAAACCACCCATCAGCGTGTGCTGAGTGCCCTAAGCCCCGTCCTCTATCCTCCCCTTAAAGGTGCTCGTACCCGGGCCCTCACTCTCTTCTGCTCTCTCTGGAAGCAGCCGGCAGTGGTACTCTTCTCTTCAATAAAGCCTGTGTCCTGGCATCCAGCCCTCTCTGTTTCATCTTTCATAATGGTTCCCAAACCCGGGAGGATCTATCAGAAGGCAACTAATGGATGTTTCTCTTTCACACAGTCTCTGTATCTGTCTGTCTGTCTCTCTGTCTCTCTCACACACTATCTCTCTCTCCCTTCCTCTCCCTAAGCATGTACTCAAGTGAGGATTTAAAAGAGAAAAAAACGGCCAGATAATGGAAATAGAGGACCTGCATATCCATGTGACACTGGTGATCAGCGTGACCCTGTCCTTCATGGGAACACGGAGGCTGCAGAGCGGAGAGACCTGCTTGAACAATTCCCCTTCGGGAGCCCGTCCTGAAACTGTGTCCCCACATTCCCCGAGGGGTCAGCCTGGGGGAGCGGGAGGCAGGCGGGCAGAGGAGCGGAGGGAGCGGAGGCCTGGTCATCAGCCGCATGCACAGAGTGGAGCCAGACCTCCCAGGCCTCCCTCGCTGGCGCCCCGCCCGCCCAGCCGCCCCCTCCCCCAGGAGAATTCCAGGAAGGGGGGGGGCGGGAACAATGGGAGGAAATGCTGGAGGAAGGGCAGGCCCACCCCTGCCAGCCAGGCACCTCTGGCCACGAAGGACAGCTTGTTATTTCCTCCCTCAAATGTCTTTCTGGGCTACGAAATGCCCCACCTGCCACCCCGCCGTGGACCCTGGGAGTCCCCCTGAGGAGCTGGTGGCTTCACGGGCCCCCACTCCCCTAGAAGGAAGGGCTGTGGGCAGGCTGCCTGCACCAAGCCTCGGGAGGGGCTGCCCCTGAGAGGGCAGCACAACACTGCTCTAGGGAGCCGAGGAGGGCTCCTTGGGAGGCGGCAGGGGTCTGGGGCTTGGTCACAGGAAACCCTGATGGCCACTGTTCCTTCATTTCCCAGAAGATGCAGGAGCCAAGCTTTATTCTGGGGGCCTTGAGCATAGGAGGCCCCAACACTTGACTGAGAAATAGACCCTCAGGCCCAGATATGCCCCACGCTCAGTAGGCACCAACCAGTGGCCAAGTGTGGCAGATGGGGTTCAATGAGGATCAAATGAGACAGGGAGGTGCTTAGGGGGTCTGGGGGGCCTGTACAGGCTTCCTCTAGCAGCTCTGGGTGTGTGCAGAGGCCCTGCTGGTTGTAAAGAACCCCCCTCACCCCCCATGGGCTTTGACCCCACCTCCTGCAGCCTACTCACAGAAAAATGCCACTGCTCTCTGGGCCTCCCCAGACCCCTTCCTCCCCCGCCCTCCTGCCCCCCCCCCTCCCCCCAGCAATGCCTTACCATCCTCCCTGCTGGGCTGGACTGCGTTCAGGAGCTCCTGGAATGTGGGGGCAGGAGAAGCGTAGGGGCTGAAAGAGCGGCTGCCATCCCAGAAACAGAAGGAGACAGAGCTGGCGTGCAGAGGAGAGGGAGAGGCCAAAGCAGTCTCCACATTCACAGGACACACATTCTTCCTCCGTGGAGAAAGCATTCCTTCCTAAAGCCACCCTCCACGGGGCCACTGCCCTGCAGGCGATGGGAAAGAGCTGTGGGGTGGTGGCCTCCAAATCTGAGCCTTCAGTGTGTGTATATGGGGGGGTGGGGGAGTGAATTAATGTGGCCAAATATGTTTATTTGAATGAAGCACAAAGAAATCTAAACAATTTCATTTTAGAACATGGGACCATTCTACATCGTTGTAAAAAGAAAGCACGGGAGGCAGCCCAGAATTCCATCGCGGCCGAGGGGTAAATATTTAAATACAGCGGGGACCATGCTGTGGACATGGGAAGGACACCACAAACTTCTCTAGGCAAAACCTTCAAAACTTCTTTTAAAAAACGTGCAAAAGAGTGTGTACAATGGGCTACCCATACCTCGAGGGATAAAAAGCCTGGACAGAGCGTCTAATACCATGGTTGCCAGAGACTAAGGAAAAGGAAAAATGGAAAGTTACTGTTCAATGCTTATAGAGCCCTGGTCGGCAAACTGCGGCTCTCGAGCCACATGCAGCTCTTCGGCCCCTTGAGTGTGGCTCTTCCACAAAATGCCACGGCCTGGGCAAGTGTATTTTGAAGAAGTGGCGTTAGAAGAAGTTTAATTTTAAAAGATTTGGCTCTCAAAAATTTCAATCATTGTACTGTTGACTAATGTGTTTGCCGACCACTGGTTTAGAGTGTTGTTCTACAGATGGAAGAGTGATGAAGATGGGTGGGGGTGATGGTTTGACAATGTATTTAATGTGAATGTATGTAATACCAATGAACTACAAGCTTAAAAGTAGTTAAGATGATAACTGTTGTGTGTATTTTTACCACAATTTTTTTAATTTACTTAAAAAATCAATACAATACCTTTTGCCTAAAAAGAGAGACATGCCCGAATCTGTGTTGGTGATTAAGCAATAACATAAGAATTCTGTAAAGATAGATAAGACACCAAGAACAGTGGTACCCATGGGGGAGGGGTGAGTAGGGGGCAAGTGAGAGACAAAGATGACAGGGAAAATTTTTGCTGCATTTTTTTTTTCTTATCATTTTTGATTTTGTCACACAAAAAATGTTCACCATCTCAAAAATTAAATCTAAAAACGGAACATAAAACTTTAAAAACCTTATAATGTATTCATTCAACCAATATTTACTTAGCACATCCAGCCAAACACCGTCCTCGCCCTCATGGAACTAGCTCCTAGTGATCACTGCCCTCCTATAGACGGTGTGTATGGGGTGGAGTGCCGATACCTCCCGTACACTGGCCGGCCTAAGCTCACACTAGCCTGTGGGGTGGGTACTGTTACTGGTCAATCCACCATTCAGCGAGGACACTGGGACTCAGAAGGCATTTAACCTGCCTGATTTCACACAAGTAACAGGCAGAGCCAGACTCCAAACCTTACCTTGTACCACACCCCAGGGCAGCTAGGACACTTCTGTATTTTGATGCTTTGGCGTCTGGAGCCAGGGCTAGCCAATGTCTAGAGATAGTAAATTCTACACCTGCAAGTGCAGACCAGCCAAGTCAAAGCCCATTCGCCCACCACTTGGGCTCCTACACTCCAGGCACTATTCCTCTGCCCTGATCACCCCAGGGAGGTACCACACAGCTCCAGACAGCCACTCCCCTCCAGAACCTGCCAAAATTATCCAAGCTAGCCAATCCCAAACACTCTTACC